GCTGCACTGGGTTGTTGTTTCCCAAGTGCTGCTAGATTTGCAAGATTGGAATCTAAACTTCTGTTAGAGTTGCTAGATCTGCAAGATTGGAATCTAAACTTCTGTTAGAGTATAAAATTAAATGATTATTGACAGTAGACTTCTTAATAAAAAGGCTTTGTTATAGATGATTACAGGATGACCTTGTAATAACTACAGCACTTTCTGCATAGAAGAATGTTAGAGAAATGTTTACCTGTAAATGCCTTTTAGACCCGAAGAAAAAAAAATCCCATTTTGCCACATATGGTATAAATGTTATTCGGCTGACCTCATAAACTTAAATTAACCTGGATTGTAGAGCAGATGTGATTAGAATTCTTTAGAGCCTTCCAGGCCTCTGCCATAAGAAGGTTTATGTGCTAGGGCAGGACTAGATGTGTAGATAATGAAAATACCCGTGATGAATGCAATAAAGAGAGAAAGGAGGGAAAATGAAGTCTGTGAGACTTCTACAGGAATTCATGAGACAAACTACTGAAAAGCAGTGGAATTAATACTGCTTTCAGAAGAGCTATATAGTCTAGTAAGTGCTCTGTGTCGCTTCCTTTGGATTTGTCCTTGACTACATATTTATCTTTGCATGCATGCTTTCTAAATTCACCTTTTTGGTGCTCCTGAAGAGCATTAATTCAACTCGTGGGTTCCACTATAGCAGTAATAGATGTTACTAAATGTAATAGAAGGAAGATGGAAGAGAGAATTCCGGGTAGAATTAACTTTTCATATGCAGTCCTGAGAAGCAGACTAGCAAGGCAGTGTTTCAGTTGCAGATGTGTAATAGTTTATTCTTGACTGAACAGTCTTCTCTACCCTCCCTGCCTTTTTTCTTCAGCTGTGTCAGCGACTGGTAGAGGCCACTACGTGAAGCGGATTCGTTACCATGGCAAAGGCATGTTTGGCATCATGAAAATCTCCAGGTGCCATTACTTTGTAAAGTTGGTGGAAGGTCCTCCTCCTCCTCCAGAGCCACCAAGGACTGGTTTTGACCAAGCAAAAGAATACGTGCAGCAGCTGCGGAATAGAACCCTTGTTAATACACTGTGACAGACTTTTGACTATATAGGTATTTCGTGTTTGATAATGTAATTATATAAAAAATAATTAAAATAATGTTTTAGTTATCTCGTTGGTGCTGCTGGAGCCATTGCTGGATGCAACCATGATCATAGGCTTTTTTCCTTCTTTTTCAAGCCAGAGGTGTGAAAAAATCTTGGAAAAACAGCAATGATGTTACTTTTTCTCAGTTACTTGGACCACAGCATTCAAGTTCTACCCTGGATTATCACATACAGTGCCATTATAAAGCTTGTAAGGAATTGTGGCTGTCATAAAATTCACACAGCTGTCTTTATGGTTGGGTCTGTTATAGAAATGTCGCGTTGCAAGATCAAGACTTGGACTAAAATGACTAAATTTAGTATCTTAAAGTAGCTACCACAGTGGAACAGAACAAGTAGCAATAATAGTTGAGATTATCAGGCATCAATTTATGGTTTCTTTATCTGGTCTGGAATGCTCTATCCTTACAGTCTCTGTTGTGCATCTTAGGCATTGTCTGGGAGTGGGGAATAAAAAAAATTCATTTGGAGTTCGGGCTTTGACAGAGTCGCTAGGTGGCAATGTTTCGTTTGTCAGGGAAGCAGTGAAAACTGGCAACATGTGGAAACTTTTTGGTACTGACTATGGCATTAATAGTCTGATGTGTGCATGGAGTTCAGGCTGATCTCTGTGGAAACTGTGTGGAGAAAAGCTTGTCTTACTGAAGAGTAAACTAATTCTGCACTGTCTGGAAACAAATTGGTTTTGTAATGTTGAGGTGAGTAAAATGCTCCGTGGACTTAACATGGAATGGCTTGTTGCATATACAGATCAGGGTTTCAGTTCTCTGAAAACAGTCTCACTTTTATCATTACTTCTTTGAAGAGAAAAAAGACTGGGGTCAGTAGGAGGAATCTCACCTAGTCAAATTTTCAACTCAGATGGCCAGAGATCATGGACATCAGCATAAAAAGAATGAGTAGTTGTTTGTTTATGCAAGCATCTGATACTTAGACCTTTCTTTTCCATTCTGGGAACATTAGGATGGGAGACAGATTGCTTACCTTATTTGGGTCTTACTTTACTTACCACACCAACTAGTGATACCCTTTCTTTCTTTCATGTGTTTACTTTGATTAGTACTTGAATGATGGCAAAGAGATTGTTCCTAGAAGGAAACAAATGATCTTTGTTGTCTTAAGGTGGCATACAGCTGTTTCTTTTGGCTACCAAAGAAAGGGTCTAATGATAAAGAGTGAGGATTGTGAAGTTACACAAGACCTACTTGCACAGCTCAGTACCGTTAATGGGTGCTTATTTGCAGTCTGTTTTTCTGCAGACACATTACTTGCTTTAAAGCCACGATTTAGTAACTTTTGTCTGAAAGGAATGTTCCTGATAAAACTCTCTATCTCTGTAGTCCCTGATGTGTGTTTGAAGAACTGTTTCTGGTGTGCTATGATAAACAGCTGTGCTTTGCTCTGCCAGCTGCCCTTAAACTCTTGCTGTACTGAATCTCTTATAAGTTGTAGCAAACTTGAATGACTTAATCTTTCTGGGGGTCAGTGATCTGGGAGAAGACTAAGGAACTGCAAAATAATTCAAGCTTAATAAGCACTTGTTATCTAAGCATGTAAAACCTGTCTTCCAGACATTTTATTCCAGTACCAGTTTCTCCTGCATGCTGTAGATTTTACTGCGGTTTCCTTCTGGACCTCCATCAAGGTTGTGTCCTTATAGATATCATTGCTCTACTTACGAATCTGCAGACAGGGAGAGAAGTGAGAATGTGACTGATGTCTTTTCCAGCTTCTTGATGATGCAGCAGGTGGCCCCGACACTTCTCTAAACAAATGGACCTAGGCTTTTGAAATGTCTCAGTCAAAACCAAAGGTTGTTGCTTGTCATTCTTGTTTTCTTTCTCAAAACAGTAAGTTGGAAGACTCTTTTTTTGACATGCTTTTTAGCTTTCCTCTTATTCCTTGGTACCCTTTTCTGCCTTCTTAAAGATGTGTAACCCGTAGCAGATCCTTATGGCGCTGGCTAAGGAAGCTCCACAGCTGTGGCTGTAACAGTACAACGATGGGAGATTTGGTGAGATGAGAGGTTTGTCCCTGCCTTTCACTGATAGGACAGCCAGAGTGTCTGAAGTGATTTCTGTGAGAGGTGCATCAGAACATTGGTATGGGAACCTGACTGAACCTTTTAAAAATTCAGTAAGATCTAGTGATAGAGCTTTATACTGTCAAGTTCTATATATAAATAAAATCTGGAGGTTTTGATTCTACTGTACTTTCTTGACAATTAGTACATCTACACTTCAGGTAGATATTTGATCTGGATTCAGACAGAAAATTCCATGCTAACTGCAACAGGTCTTTAGCAGAAGATCATTTATTACTGTGACCTCCAATAAAAGAACACTTTTAAATGAGCTGTCACCAGAAGGGAGCGGGGAGAGGCACCTGGGCCTCTACTTGATGCTAATTTTATTAGTAACATCTGGGGGCACTGTAACTCACCACTTGTGTATGTATGTGCTGATGTTACAGAAACCAGAGAAGGAGCAAGTATGCGTGAAGGTGTAGTAAGACTTCAGGGAAATCTGAAGAGAGCAGAACTGTGAGCTGTGCTCAGCAATGTGAGATTTAATTGAGGAAAACTTAAAAATCTGCTGTTGGGTTTGTTCATAAACGTTTTAGAGTATCCAGTGAGAAAGTCGAAGTACTTTTGTCAGACAGCCTGGTGTCTTTGGATATGTGGGTTTTGTTTGTTTGTTTCTGTTTTCAGAACTCCTGAGTGGTTATTGAGGAAGCAGTTCAGGAGGTAGCGTAAGGAAAGACTCATAAATATAAAAGTGATCATCAGCCTTTTTAAAAACACAGAAGATAAATGTGAGTGTGACAGGCAATGACTGGACAGTGAGGGACTTCTGCTCAGGTCTGTACTGGAAATTGCTGCTGTAAGGTGGGCTGCGTTAGGGCTTGGGTGTTCTCTGGGCACAGACAGACATGTTCTGCCCAGTGCTTTAGCTGCGTTGCTGTACCTGGTATAAACTTTGCTAGACCAAGGTGTTGCAGTGTGAATCTCCTGATTGACCCCTGTTTGCACAAGTGGGAGGTGTGCGGCAATGCTGCCACTTCTGCGTTGTGGAGGCGCCTGGGAAATCCTCCAGTCACTGGAGTGAAGGAACAACAGGAATCACTGTTTGCTTTCTGTCAGTCCCTATGAAAATCCACTGGTGAGATGCTGGGAAGTAATTTGCAGACAGAATTCTCCTTTAAATAGAAATAAGGTTACTCCTAATATCCTCAATGAACCATAGAAACAAAGTGTGACATTCTTCACCACAGGAGCTGCTGAAAATGCCCCTATTTCTAGCTTCTCAAAGAACAAGCCTTTATTGCTGAATGACATCTGTCCAGTTGTACTTCAGCTATGTAATTTAAAATAATTACTAATTAAACAAGAGACTGAAATAGGAGTAATAATCACGCAAGTTACTGTTTACTGGAGCTTTACCTAGGGAAAATAATTTGAAAGGAGGCAAAAGTTTCAGGAACTGACTTTAGACTACTTAGGTTGAAGTAAGGAACACGATATCTCTTGGGAGTAGTCAGCAAATGCAGAGCTAATTTTTTAGTTGCTCTATAACATCAACTCTCTTCTTGTTTCAAGGAAGCTGTATGCTAATACAGAGGACAGGCTGCCATTGAAGAGAACAAGCCAAGGAGACTGTAACCTTACACTGCACAAATTAGGCATCCACCTCAGAGTATTACCTGAGGAAATTAATCTGAAATTCTGTGTAATACACTTGAAGAGAGCATTCTTGAAACTAAAGACAAAACGTGAGGTAGAGCATCTGAATAACTACTGTGTCTGGGGGTGCTACTTCTGTGGATTGCACAGTAGCACAGCCATTAAATTCGGTGTGGTAAAATGAATTTTGTCATATGAGCCTAGATTCACTCCTTGTTTTTCCTCAAAAAATAATGAAGTGAAGGCTTAAACCATATTTGTATTCAGATACGAGTATCTGATACATATATCTTTATTTTAAATTACCTCAGAGTTGGGACCAGTGCTGCATCAAGCCGCCCGTGTCTTTGTCTAACCATATTGGAAATCCAGCCACCTCTGTGGCCGCCTGTACTAATGTTACGCTACTCTCCCTGTAAAGTCATCTTGCAAAGCTTAGCCTGGGCCTCCTGAGCTGTACTGTGTTGTCCTTGTCCTTTGTTCTGTTGCCTGGTGATACCAAGAATTGCCTGACTCCATCACATTGTAACTCTGCTGTTGCTCTCGGATCACCCTGCTAACCGCTGTTGGGCAGGATGAACAAGGCCAGCTTCAGCCTCTCTTCATAACTCTAGTTCTCCAGCCTCTGTGCTGTACCCTCTCCAGTTTCCCAGTCTCAACTGTAGTGGGGGACTTAAAACCAGACCCAATGTTCCAGGTACAACTTCACCAGCAGTGATGAGAGAGAGAGAACTTCCCTTGGTCATCTGGCCACACTTTTAATGGAGCAAAGTATGCAGTTTGCTGTATCTATGATGAAAACATGTTGGCTCACATTCAGCCTGATTTTCATGCAAGTCCCAGGGTTTTTTTAGATTGCCCGTCAGGATGGCAGTAGGTACCTGTGGCACCTGTGTCTCAGCTCTCATTGCTTTTCTGCATACACTAATGAGGACTCCTTTAGCACTAGGAAATGGTTCTGTTTTGTGGATGATACTTTTCTTTCCTAATAGAGAAGCTGTGAAACAGTTTCCTGGCTTATGTTACTAATTAAACTCTTAGGCTAGCTAAGAGTGGAGTAAAGGGATTTGTATATGCTATTGTGGTAAACTCCATCTATGTATGCAGCTAATAAGTGGTGAAATGTGTCTACATCTTTTCTATTGATTATCTCCTTCAGAGGAAGACACAGGTCCTTACTGTATGCTGACCATGTAAATTAAAAATTTAATTAAATGGAAACAGAGTGGACTGTGAAGTGCACT